TGGCGCCTTCTTTCTCTTTTTTTTAATATAAACATTTATCATTCCCTCTTAGAACTTGTTTGCTGTATCCCATAAGTTTTGATGTGTTCTTCCAAATTAATTTGTCTTAATATATCTTTTAAATTCCTCTTTTTGTTTACTTCTTTGACTCATTCATTATGCAGGAGCTTGCTGTTTAATTTCCACTTATTTGAGTATTTCCAGTTTTATTACTGCTGCTGATATATAGTTTTATATCATTGTAGTCAGAAAGATACATGAGGAGGTTTCTACTTAAATTTAGTATGACTTGTTTTGTAGCCGATGATCTATCCTGTAAATATTCCATGTGTGCTTTATAAGAATGAGTATTCTGTTCATTAGGCCCATTTCGTGTAAGGTATATTTCAAGTCTATTGTTTAGTTATTGACTTTCTGTCTGGATGATCCATCTATTGTTGAAATTGAAGTACTGAAGTACTAAAATCCTGTTATATTGTTGTTTATTTCTCTCTTCAGGTCTGGTAATGTTTGCATTATATAGGTATTTTCTCTTCTGTTGACTCCATATTTATAATTTTTTATATCCTCTTGATGATTAGACCCCTTTATCATTATATAATGGCCTTCTCTGTCTCTACTGACAGTTTTTGACTTAACATCTATTATCCAACATCTAAATTTAGCTATCCTTGCTTTCTCTTGGCTTCCATTTACATGGAGTATTTTTTTCATTCCTTAATTTTCAATCAGTATATTTATTTTTTAAGACAGGGAAGATGTTAATCAAAACCCACCAGTGAAGTGGGTAGCTTGGGTCTCTAATGAAGCATTCAGGTTTTGAAGCATAGGTCAGTAATTGTGTACGAGAGTCTACACCTCTATATACAAATTAAAGGATCAGACCACAACTTTTTAATGTTTAAAGTAAAATAAGTGTCACTATAAAAGCAGTACCTTTGTGACATTTTAACTTTAGTATTCTTCTTCCTTACCCTCTCCTTCAACAGAATCCACACCAATCTCCTCATAATCGTTCTCAAGGGCAGCCATGTCCTCGTGGGCCTCAGCAAACTCTCCTTCTTCCATTCCCTCACCCATACACCAGTGAACAAAGGCATACTTGGCATACATCAGGTCACGCTTGTGGTCCAGGGGAGCTTGGGCCTCAGCAGTGGCTATGCCATTGCTCAAAATGTACACAGCTCTCTGTACCTTGCCCAGGTCTCCACCACCTACTACAGTGGAAGGCTGGTCATTGATACCAACCTTGAAGCTAGTGGGAAATCAGTTTACAATCTGTATGGTACGCTTGGTCTTGATGGTGTCAGTGGCAGCATTGACATCTTTGTGTACCACACCACCATGGTACAACAGGCAGTAATCCATGGTGAGGGTCATATTTCATCATCTGGTTGGCTGGCTCAGAGCAAGCATTGGTGATTTCTGCTACAAAAAGCTGTTCATGTTAGGTTCCTCAGCAGAGATCACAGGCACGTATGTGGCCAGTGGGAAGTGGATGTGGGGATAGGTTACCAGGTTGGTTTAGAATTCTTTCAGGTCAATATTCAGGGCTCCACCAAATCTGAGGGAAGCAGTAATGGAGAACAAAATGTGACCTATCAACCTATTCATGTTATTATAGGTTGGGTACTCAATATCAAGGTTTCTACTACAGATGTCATAAATGGCCCCATTGTCTACTATGAAGGGACAATTAGAGTGCTCCCAGGTGATATGGGTGGTGAGTATGGAGTTGTAGGGCTCAACTACAGCTGTGGATACTTGGAAGGCTGGATAAATGGATAATTTCAGCTTGTACTTTTTGCCATAATCAACAGAGAGGTGAACCCAGAACCAGTTCCTCCATCAAAGCTATGGAAAACCAAGAAGCCCTGAAGACCTGTGCACTGGTCAACCAACTTAGGAATTTTGTCCAAGACTAGGTCAATGATCTCCTTGCCAATGGTATAGTGCCCATGGGCATAGACAGTGGCAGCATTTTCCTTTCATGTGTTGAGCTGTTCAGTGTGGAAAAGCTGGTGGTAGGTACCAGTGTGAACTTCACTGATGACTGTGAGTTCCAAGTCTAGAAACACTGCCCTTGGAATATGCTTGCCAGTGCCTGTCTCACTGAAGAACATGTTGAAGGAGTCATCTTCTCCCCCAGTGGTCTTGGCACTTGGCATATGGCCATTGGGATGGATGCTGTGTTCCAGGCAGTAGAGATCTCAGGAGGCATTGCCAATATGGACACCAATCAACGTGGATGGAGATGCACTCCTGCCTGGTTGCTGCTTCATGGCTGCTGAGCAGATGGTGAGACAAAGAGGAGAGGTGTTGCTTCTTACAGCATGACTCTTAGGGGGTCAATGTAAGAGAACCTGCCCAGTGCATGTTTCTGAAGGTGAAGTGACTCTTTTGTTATCAACAGATACAGTAGGACCTCTTTAAGTTGACCACTCAAAGGACTGTTAACAAATTGGTTAACATAAGAGGAGGGCACCATAAGGAACTAGGGCTACTATAATGATACATACGTGTGGTGCATATCTGTGAGATGGTCAATGTAGGAAAGTGGTCAGCTATGGAGGTTCTACTATAGTGGGTTTTGTTTGTAAATCCATTCAGGCATTCTGTGTTCTTTCATTGGAGAATTGAATCTATTAAAGTAATTATTAAAAGATAAATATTTGCTGTTGACATTTTATTAGTTATTTTCTGACTCTTTTTATAACCCTTTTCTCTTCTCTGTTGTTACAGTAGAACCTCCATAGTTGACCACATCCCTACATTGACCACCTTCTTATGTTGGCATAATTTTCTTAATTTGGACATATACTACATGTATGTATCAGTACCATAGGTCTATTTCCTTATGCTGACCACCTTTGTATGTTGACTAACTTATTATGATCCCTTGGGTGGTCAACTTAAAGAGGTTCTACTGTATTTCTCTTTGTGATTTGATGATTTCCTATAGTGACATACTATGATTCATTTCTCTTTATCTTTTTTTTTTTTGAGGGGTATCTACTATAGGTCCTCCTGCTTTGAAGTTATTGTGATGTTTATGTAAAACATCTTAATGTTCTACTAATCTATTTTAAGCTGTTCTAAACTTAACTTAGGTCACAGAAAAAAGTTATACACTTCTAATCCTCCCTCATTTTATGTCTTTGATGTCACAGGTTACATTTTAATAATACGTATTCTTTAACAAGTTAATGTAATTATAGTTATTTTTAATAATTTTTCTTCTATCTTTAGAGTTATAAGCAATTTATTTACATACTACCATTATAGTACTACAATATTCTAAATTAGACTATATATTTACCTTTACAAGAAAGATTTATACTTTCATATTACTTATTAGTGGCCTTTTTTTTCAGCTTGAAGAAATCACTTTAGCATTTCCTGTGAGATAGGTTTAGTGGTGCTGAACTCCTTTAACTTTGTTTGTCTGCAAAAGTCTTTATTTCTCTCTCATTTCTGAGGGATATCTTTCTGAGTAAAGTATGTTTGGTTGACAGGTTTTTGTTTTCTTTCAGTACTTTGAATATATCATCCCACTCTTCCATAGACTACAAAGTTTCTGCTGAAAAAATCTGCTGATAATATTGTTAATAGTCCCTTCTATGTGACATACTTCTTTTATTTTGCTGCTTTCAAAATTTTCATTTGTCTTTGGTTTCTGTATTTTCATTATAATGCAGCTTGGTGAGCTCTTCTTTGGCTTACATTTGGCTAGGAATTTCTGAGCTTTCTATATGTCAATGTTTTTATCTTTCTTCAGATTTGGAAGTTTGGGGCCATTATTTCTTTAAATAAGCTTTATTTCCTTTTCCCTGTCTCTTCTTCTGCAATTTCTAAATTTTGTGAATTTTAGCTCTCTATATTGTGTCCCAGAGATCTTGTAGTATTTCTTTGTTCCTTTTTCTTATTTTGTTTTCTCCTCTGACTTATTTCAAATAATCTGTCTTTGAATCTACTTGTTCTTCTTCTGCTTGATCTTGTTTAAGTTTTCATTTTGTTTTTGTATGTATTTTTTAATTTTGTTAAATTAATGATCCATGTTCTCTTTAATTTACTGAGCTTCTTTAGGATGATTATTTTCAATTATTTATCAGGCACTTCATGGATCTACAACTCTTTGGGATCAGTCATGGGAAGTTTATTATGTTTCTTTGGTGGTATTATGTTTCCCTGATTCTTCCTAATTCTTATAGTCTTGCAAAATAATTTTACTTAGAAATAATTTCCTACTTACAGAAATGATGAAAAATAATAATAGTATAATAGATGGTACAGTAGCCATCTACCATTTACCCAGATTCATCTGTTGTTAACATTTTATCACTTTTGTTTTATCTATGGATCATGTCCTCCCTGTCTCTCCTGACTCTTCTCTTCCCTTCTCTCTATATGCATATATATATGCACATACTCACATGCATATATTCACACTTTTTTATTGGTCATAAATGTTTAACTTGTGTACATCTTGGGGTCCTTATCTCTAAATACTTCAATATATGTTTTCTAAGGAATGTTTGATGGAGATAACTTGATGCTAGGATGTTGTTATTCCTTTACCTATTTATTATATTTATTCAGCTTTCTTAGCTATTCTCAGTGGCAGAGTTTATCTAAAAGAACATAGTCTGCCATTGCCAGAATTAGAATTTCTAATCCTTCTCATTTTATGAATGAATACCAGAGTTTTGACATGTTGTTTTACTATTGGTAGGGCCAGTGTCCTCTCACACTACCCTTCATTTTTTTGTAATTTCCTTACTACTGCTACTTATTCATTTTTATAAGAACTTTATAATCAGTTTGTCTAGTTACCAAATAATTTCTTTTAGTAAATCATACCATTACATTATTAACTAAAGAACATTGGCATTGTTATTATTTTAATATTAATAAAATAGACCCTGTATTTCCATTTCTTTAAGACTTTTTGGGTGGATAATCAGTAGCCTTTCCCTTTCCTTTTATTCCTCTGCCCACAGCAAGATGGATTCTGGATATACTCAGAATATTGTAACAATCACCTGGACGCCTGTATGGAACTGTCCAAGCTGATGAAAGACAGCCGTTACCAGCACTTCTTTGAGGCCTGTCGCCTTTTGCAGCAGATGATTGACATTGCTATTGATGGTTTCCTTTTGACTCCAGTGCAAAAGATCTGCAAGTACCCCTTACAGTTGGCTGAGCTTCTCAAGTATACTGCCCAAGACCACAGGTAAGAGATTAAGGGAGGTGGGAGTGAGGGAACGAATTCCTCTACATGTTAGCTTTATTGACAATGTATGTCCTTTTGCCTTTTCTGGGCTTCTGTTGGCTTATAGGAAAGTAGGATGATATATTCTTGTTTACTGCACTAGGCTATTGTATGTATAAAGTGAGGGAGTGCTTTTGAGAGTTACTTTTAAAGTGATACATCAGTATGCACACAAAATCATTATTCACCATCATTATCATACTATTAGGCCTTACCTTCAGGGAGTTTGTAGTCTAGTCCTTAGCCCTGAGTTCAGCCAAATGAATCAAGTCTTATTCAATAATTGTTCAACTATATATTCCACTCTGCTTGATAGATTCAAATTTTGTAGTGACAGCCTTTCCAACTTGTACCAAACCTGAATTCCTTCTGTATGGCTATATCCTTGACCTTCTTTAGCCTTTTTCACCTTCCTCTGCACCACCACAGCCATAATTTTCCCTTATATACAGAGTATGCTAGAGGAAAATAGACTTGAGTCTTCTTTGGAAGTTTTTCCAAAGTTTTTAAGTATTTCAAGAATACCAACCCAATAAGGACCAAGGAGTTTATCTTTCTCTGAATGGAAATTATGCTCTTCACCTGCTATCAGCAATATACATGATGGAGTAATCTCAGACAATAGGGATGGCCTACAATAAACCATCCTCACTCATTCATATACCTTACTTCATGACTCAGCACCCCCAACCTGTTTGTAGCCTGCCTTTATGATTTTAAATCTCTGGTCTTAGACTTGTTGGGCCAGCTCTTGGCTCTTCCTCAGACTGAGCACTCTAAGAACAAAGAAAGCCTTTGCCCCATTTTCTTTAGCTTTCTGCTTGATTCTTATTCAGCCTGCTTTCTACTTTCATTTGGCTTCATTGCCTAGTTTTCTTAGTTCTGACTTCTAGACATAGATGCATGTGGGCCAGTTGGTTTGGTCGATGCCAAGCATCACAGCTGAGCCCCGGGCTCATTTCTGAGTTGATATTACTTTCTTTATAATGGGTCATGTGCTTCAGTGGTTCAGGAGCCCTAGGCAGATTTCAGATTTTGACCCAAATGTAGTGGCCTTGTTCTCTCCTTTTTTGGAGTAACAAGGATAGCAATAGCTGTGTCTTCCACACTTTTTTGGCTGTGAGGGAGGCAAGAGGAGCAGGAACTTACAAAGGAAGATTCTGTTTCCTCTTCCCTAAGGCAGTTTACTAGTCTGAAGGTAGTAAGAGTGCTCCTTAAACATAAAATTTGGAAGTGACTTGAACAGACTTAATATAGCCTGTTGCCAGAACTGAGTTCCACAAATTTTCTAAGGATATTTTCTCTTATGAAAGTTAGTAATACATTGAATCTCTACTGAAATTAAGATATTTGGAAATGAAAAAAAAATACATATGGCAGAATTTTGGAAAGACCCTCCTTTCTCATCATATTTCTTTATTCTATGGCTGAAAAAATGGAAAACTAGAAAGGAAGAATGATACACCCAATCTGTGGAAAATCAAGGACACAAAGCATGTGCATTGGTCTGAGAGTCTAGTTTTTTAAAGAGCTCTCTAGGTAATTTTTGTGCCCAAGAAGGTTTATGAGCCATTGCAACAACCAGTCTGGAAAGTCTTCCTCCTGTCCTGTCAGTCTGTGGTGTCATGAGCCTAAATGACCTCCAAAGTTGTATTACATGGTGCTAAGTGACCAAAATTAGCAACTATTGAACCTGTAGCTCAATGGAGCAGCTGTCATTCTGACCAGTGGTTTTAAAACTGGATATTCAAATAGTGGTTCTCAAATGTTGTTATATCACAGCTCCTCACCTACCTACTTCCTGAGTATTTGTTCCATGGAACCTAGCAGTAGGCTTTAAAAATCATATTTATGGACTCATAATATTCACTAGGTAAATTATATGCTATATAATTTATCTTAAGAGTCCCAGAAAAAACAATATTTTAAAGCATAGCCCAAAGCTATGTTAGTTTCTTAAGCCAGAACAACCGCAGGGCTTTGGTGTGTTTGGTGGGAGCTAGCAAGATGGACATTTGCATGAGATTTGGCATTTTTATGCTCCCTCGCCTTGTGATTGGAACTCCTGCTTCAAATCTTTATTGACATCTTACTCCCTCGTCTTCTCCCTTATTACCCTCTGGGCTCCAGAATGCTGATGGAATAGCTTAGGCAGTGGTAGACTACATAAATCCCTATCCCTCTTAAGGGTGACTTGTGGGGCCCAACACTACCTTCCAGGGCAAGGGAAACCCCTCTTGGCATACCTCAGGAGGCTCTACTAAGGTAATAGCTTCTGCTATGCATATATATCAAGGTAAGAGAATTGGATTTGAAAGCAGTTAGAGACTGCTGCCTGCTTGGAGGCTTAGTCAGGTCGTCAGGTAGGTAGGCCTGAAATTCAGGTAGTCAGAGTGGCCTCTAAGATAGAAGATTAGATAGAAAGTGATAAATGTAGAGTAATACTGCATTTGTAGAAGGGTAGGAAAGGTGACATACTTTCCCATCCCACCATCCTTAAGCTTACAAGATGCAAGACTCCATATAAGAGATTAGCTGACACATATAGAACTAAAAAGTCTTGGTTCTGACACTTGCCCTAATAGGGGCCTTGGTCCAGACCTCATCTGAGGGTCCAGAGGCTCTGGCCAAGGTCCAGACTACACCATAACTATTTTCTTCTCTCACCTGCAAAGCTAATGGAACAGGTTAGAAATGAGTACATTACCCTTCTAGTTGTTGTAAGAAAGGAAGCCAGGCAAAAAACAGACAGTATAGGACAGTGCAGTGATGAATCTATGACAGGAAAGTACTCAAGGTCAGACAGAGGTAAGAATATTCCCATGCCAGTACTATACAATGGAACTTTCTGCATTGATGTAAATGTTCTGTACCTGTGCTGGCCAATACAATGTACCAGCTACATATAGCTATTGAGTACTGAGAAACACAGCTAGCATAACAGAAAGACTAAATTTTATTTCATTTTAATTAAATATGGTGAGTGACTACCATGTTGGACAGTATGGCTCTATGGTTTAATTCCCAGAAAGTGGCTTAAGGCACATATGTCCTCTAGTCAGAGAAAGGAAAGCACAGGGGATAGAAAATGGTTCCAAATATTAGGAATACTTACTTATGTTAGCAGCTTCTGTGATGAAATCTCCCCTTCTATCATAACCATGGGAGCAGGCTCTGACAGTCTCGCCAGAGAGAAACTTTTATAGTATTGGAGAGCACAAAGTTGGAACAACTAACTGTAAAAGGACTAAATGTAACAACAACAAATATAAAGTTTTAAAATTTGATCTAAGATAAGAAATCAATAGCCCATGGACAGGCAGGTACAGCTTTTAGGAAACATGTTTTGAAGAGACTTAGGAAGTATTAGTTGACCATAAACTCAATATGAGTCAGCAGTGGGATTCAGAAGAAAAGCTGATAATGGCTAACATTCATTAATGATCAGAACAAAGAAGACTTTTCTGACAGATTTGTCTTAAGACAGAATAAACTAGATAGGAAGAGTAGTGAGAAGCCTATCACAGAAGGAGATAAAATGCAATAGAATTTGAGAGCTACAGTTCTGACAGATTGGATCAATGCATGCTAGCAAAGAATAGGTATTGCATAGCTTCTAGCCTGGCAGTTAGAACTCTCTTCACTGGGCCATTGTGTGGTTCACCATTCCACTCTTCAATGTATTAAGAAAGAAAAAAGGCAAATGTTGCATATCTTCTTTTTCTCCCTTTTTCTAAATTGTGGTAGGAGATTAAGCAAATTAGTGACCACAAGGCACTTTTAGCCTTTCTAGGGAAAGGTGGTAACACTAAGGGGTAATTCATCCTCTTGTCTTCTCAGTTTATTTTAGCTCCACTGAATGACTGAAATCTAACTTTCAGTCTGCCTTTCACAGAAGCCATTCAATTGGAAATAAGATCAGACAAGCCAGAGAAAAATGAGCAGGATGTGTAACTCTCAGCACTTGGGCTATTCAGAGTCCCAGAAAGCAGGCCTAAGGATTATACTTCAGGGACTAGGGGTTTTGCAAGGCATCCCATTGATGTCTGTACGAGAAAAATATTTTACTTATAATGATAATATTGTTAACATTTATTATGAGCCAAGAATAAAACTGTTTACATGCATGATTGCATTTAATTTATTAAACCCTCAATAAATTCTACTATGATTCTCCTCATTTTATAGATGAGGAAACTGAGTCAGTAAAAAAGTGGGTGAGATTTACCAAAGGCCTCACTGCTACTCAGTGACAAAAATATGTTTTAAGCCCACAAAGTCTGCTTTCACACTCTGTGTTCTAAGTACTGTGCTACATTCTATCACTATATTGTGCAGGAGGAAGGGTTAGGATATTATTTCCCAGTGATTGAGGTAGAAGCTCCCTAGAAATAGATGGTAGGAGAGATGTTAAGGTTGTCTGGACTGTGCTGTGTGTAAAGCTCCCTTCCTGGTTCTTGGCTGGTTGTATCAGATAAGACACAGAAACAGGGCTATATAAAACAAGAGGTCCATTTCTCTCTTGTGTGAAAGAAGTTTGCAAGTGGAAGATCTATGCCTTGGTATGGTGGCTCTATGGTCATCAGAAACTCATAGCTTTCTGCTATCCTATTTCTAGGGCTTAGGCCTTGTTCCCATGGTCCAATATGGCTACTAGAGCTTCAGCCATCACATCCACATTCCAAGCATTAGGATTGAGTAAGGGCTAATGAAGGGTATGCTCTCTTCCTTAGAGGTGATTTCTCAGAAGTCCTACCCAGCACTTTTGTTTTTCATATCAATTGATGAAATTTAGTTCCATAATCATCCCTGCTAAAACAAAGGATAGGAAATGTAGTCTTTAACTGTAGGTGGCATGGGTTTCCATCTGAAAATCAAAGGTCTGTTATTAAGGAGGAAGAGGACGGTGGATGTTAGATTGACATCTAGCATGTTAGTTCTATGGCACATTGGCTCATTCAACGTTCACTCTTGTGTCTTTACAGTGACTACAGATATGTGGCAGCTGCTTTGGCTGTCATGAGAAATGTGACTCAGCAGATCAATGAACGCAAGCGACGTTTGGAGAATATCGACAAGATTGCCCAGTGGCAAGCTTCTGTACTAGATTGGGAGGTAGGACCCTTCCAAATAAGGGGGTTGGAGAGTCTGAATAACTTGGCAAAAGTTTACTATGTTAGCAAAGGATGGAGTAAGATGAATTATATTTGAAGAACAAGAGGAAGGGTTTAAATTAGACTCAAGGCAAAAATTCTTGCTAATGAGAGGTGCTTAGTATTTGAGTAATTTCTAAGAACATTTGAGAAATTTTTGTGGCAGGCATTGTGGTGTGTGCCAATAGTACCAGCTACTTGAGAGGCTAAGGCAAGAGGATTGCTTGATCCCAAGAGTTTGATGTTGCTGTGAGCTATGATGCCATAGCACTCTACCAAGGGAGATTGAATGAACTTCTGTCTCAAAATGAAAGAAAGAAAGAAGGAAAGGAAGAAGTAAGGAAATAAAGAGAAAGAAAGAAAGAAGGGAGGGAGGGAAGGAAGGAAAGAAGGAAAGAGAGAGAGAGGATGAGGAAGGAAGGAAGGAAAGAAGAAGGGAGGGAGAGAGGGAAGGAAGGAAGGAAGGAAAGAAAGAAGGAAGGAAAAAAAGAGGAGAGAGAGGGAGGGGAGAAAGGAAGGGACGGGAAGGGAAGGGAAGAAGAAAGGAAGGAAGGAAGGAGAAGAGGGGAGGGGAGGGGAGGTGAGTGGAGGGGAGAGGAGAGGAGAGGAGAGGAGAGGAGAGGAGGCGGCTCTGAACAAACTTTGCAAATCAAAAAAAAAAAAATAAAGAGAAGTAGTGCTTTGTTGTCTCTGGTACCCTTTTGCTTCCCAAGATGTTGGAAAAAACAGAGTGACTGTCTAAATCATCTGCAGTTTCATTTATCAAATGAAAAAAAGATGAGACATAAGGGGATCCTTCAGTGCTTAATCTCTCTTGGAGAGAAATTTGGAGGGTTGGTGGCATGCAGCCAATAGGTATCTGCTCAATAAATCAGAGCACTTGTCTGCGTGTGGCTTATGCCTATAATCCTAGCACTCTGGCAGGCCTTGGTGGGTAGAGCACCTGAGCTCATGAGTTTGAAACCAGCCTGAGCAAAGTAAGACTCCATTTCTACTAAAACTAGAAAAACTGGCCAATGTCGTGGTGGCACCTATAGTCCTAGATATTTGGGAGGTTGAAGCAAGAGGATTGCTTGACCCTGATAATCTGAGATTGCTGTGAGCTATGATGCCATAGCACTCCACCCAGGGTGACTAAGTGAGACTCTATCTCCCCCATCCCCCCAAAAAAAAATCAGAGCTAGAGAGAAAGAAATCTTGTTTTATGTCAGGGCCTGAATTTGGCCTCAGCTTACTCCATTAATATTCTAGGAAAATGTGCCCAACTCCAGTTACCATATATGGGGACTAGGAGTTCCTAAAGTACCCCTACTTTTGCCCCATCCCCCAAGTTTCCTGAAAAATAAATGGATGAGTGAAAGTATCACCCATCCCTCTAGGTAGCAATCAGTACATTACAGCAATTTAGGAGAGCAGCAAGGAGAAGAACCTGATTCCAGAATACTATAGTTTCTGGGAAATTTCCATTTCTGATTTCTCTGAAGCTGAGGTTTGGTTGAGCTGTCAATTTGCCTCCTTTCACACTCATTAAATCCACATGAAAGGAAGGGAAAGGAACATACCCCTGACATCTTCTTTTTAATCTTTCTTTTTTTTCTGGAGAATTTTAGCAGAAACCCAATATTTGGGAGCTTGATTTGGAGTGGTTGTGCTTTCCTCTTTGTGTCACCCTTTACCTCCTATCCTTATTGGGTAATTAATAACCAAAGGCCTATTCCAGTTTACCATTGGATGATTGAATTGAAAGAAATTGGAAGGAACAGAAAACCCAACATGATGCAGGTAGCAAAAGCATCTATTTAAAGGCTGGGCATAGTGGCTTGTGCCTATAATTTTAGCACTCTGGGAGGCCTAGACGGATGGATTGCTTGAGCTCACGAGTTCAAGACCAACCTGAGCAAAAGTGAAACCCTATCGCCACTAAAAATAGAAAAATTGAGGCAAAAGGATTGCTCAAGCCCAAGAGTTGGAAGTTGCTGTGAGCTGTGACACCTTGGTACTCTACCCAGAACCACAGGTTGAGACTCTGTATCAAAAAACTAAACAAAACAAACAAAACCCCACATCTATTTAAAAGCTAAGCTGGCTTGATTAAACATATTTCTGAGACTAGAAGATCAAATGTAGGGCTGGATGAATTTATTTCCCTGACATCCTGTCAGTAGGCGACACTGAAAACACACTGGATAAAAAGGATGGCATTTTTCTTGTCCTTCTTTCCCTGGATCTCCTTAGGCCACAGCCCCACATCATTTGGCCCGTAATTAGAATGGGGCAAATTTAGGCAGAATGGGGTTAATTATAATTAGAATAAATTAGAATGGGGTGAAACTTCTTCTCTGAGGTTCTGGCCCCAGGGAAAGAAGGTGAAAGCTGGCAAGGAATATCTGGGTAGTTTTTCGTAGCCACATTTCACTCAACACCCACTGATTCATTTACTAAATAGTGTCAGACCCCAGTATAGGTTCTGCAAATACCTATATTTTGCAAATATCTCCATTGAATTTATATCAATGAAAGGGAGATAAACAAACATATGTATAATATATATTGTCAGGTAGCGGTGGTGGCTATGAAGAAAAATAAAGTAGGACAACAGGCTAGAGAGTGATGGGGCTTCTACCTGAAGAGGGAACATTTGAGAAAATAACTAAAGGAGCAAACCATGTGGCTTTCATGAGGAACTACCTTTTAGGAAGAGGGAAGAGCACACACAAAGGACCTGAAATAGGGACTGTGTACTCAAGAAGCAATAGGGAGGTCAGAGTGGCCATAGTGCAGTGAATAGAGGAATAGTGGGAACAGATGAGATCAGGAAAGCAATGAGAGGTCAGATCATGTCATCATAGGACCTTGGCTTTTATTTTAAGTAAAATGAGGTCCCCTGGAGGATTTTGAGAAAATATGTGACACTAGGAGATCTATGTTTTGAGAATCTCCTCTATGCCAGGCTCTGTGCTAGGCATTGGAAATATTGAGATAAATGAGGTGTGGCCTTGGCTATCTAGTAAGGAAAGGTACATTCCTAGCAGAATAAACATTGTAAGCAAAATTCTAGAGGAGTACAGTGGAACAGAAGCCCTGTGTTGGGGGGCAGTGAGAAAGGATTTCACTTTCGGGGGCAAGACAAAGAGATGTGTAGGACTAGTGGGGCAGAGGATGTATGTTTAAGAGCTCTGAAAAATGAGAGGATTCTTTCTCTTGCATAAACAGATTTGATCATGCTCTCAAGTAGCCATGTAAAACAGGTCAAATAGGAACAGTTATATTATCTTATATAAATGAGGAAATAGTTTGAAAATTTAATCTACTTTCCAAGGACACAGTAGAAGTATTGAACCTAGAACACAGGTCTTTTGGAATTATTCACCTCAGAAATCTTCCATGAAGCTGATTGTTCCACTGGGTTGGCAGGGAGCTCATCATTTTAGTGTGGTATGCTGGTTAAAAGCATGAACTTTAGAGAGTCTGATTTCTGCCCCTTTCGGCAAATTGCTTCCAATATCACTGACCTTGGTTTGGGGACCATAACAGTGTATCATTTACTGGGTTTTTGTATTAATAAGAGACAAGATATAGCATCTAAAACACACAGTAATAGTTAAGATAATAACCATCACTTATATAGAGCCTCCTATTTTTGCCCTGACAAGTAGGTGCCTTTGTGATACAGAAATTTTCCTCTTTATTCTAGCCTTTTTCTACTCAAGGTGTACTTCCTTAAGCATTTTGTATGTGTTAATAATTCTCACAATACCAAAATGAAGTTGGTACTATTATCCCTACTTTAGAAATGAGGAAATGGAAGTATGAAAAGAATATGTGTGTTATTCAGGGTCAGTCAGTTGGGGGAACATAGAGGTGTATTTTGTCAAGTTTTCTTGCTTATTAGAATTAACATGTGGCAAGTATTTAAAATAGAATCAGAGTGACTCTGGTTGATATACTGTGTGAACCAGATAACATTGAGTAATTCTCTTGGTCTGATCATCTGCAGTTTAGCTAGTGGTACTTTTAAAAGTTATCTTAGCCATCTTTTATGGCACAGTCCACTTTTATGATTTTCTTTCATTTCATACATATCCAAAGTAGACTGTGGTATATCTTCCTACCCTGCATTAGGGTTAGATGTGGTAAACTGGTACCACTCAGCTTCCCATCCCCCTAACAGGAAAGCTGTGCACTGATCCCTAACCCTGAGGGCTTCTTCTCTCAACACTTGGCCTCCAAAGATTATGTGCTAATATATCATACCTTCTAAAAGGAGTATTTACCTTGTTGCTGGGTAATCCTGAGATGGAGCTTGGAGTCACAGCTGTATTTCTGAGCTTCTTTCAGGGTATTTTATTAGAAAACAATTCCACAGAGCTCCCCCTTTCCTTCCCCTCCCTTAGACTGGAAAAAAGTAGTATGCTGAAGATCACCATTTCCAGATGCCCTTTCCTCTGGCCTACCACACTGCATGGGCTGTATTTTCTGATTATTTATGGGAGGATTCAATGGTCCCCATCTCTTACTTTGCCTTGAAGCTTTTAGATGGAAAGCTGTGACATTAGCATCAGAATATCAGGGCTGAGACCATAAAAATTATCCTCATACACCTCATTATTATCTGGGAAATATGTGACCTGGAGAGAGAAAGGGATTGGTCTGCCAGTGAGATTTTGGTCTAGAAACAGTATAATACAGTGGAAAGGATAAGCATACTCTCTGGATCTGCTCAGATTGGAGTTGGATCATGGATCTGTAACTATCTAGCTGGGCAACCTTGGCTTATCACTTGATCTCTCTGTATCTTGAACTGTAAAGTGGGAGCAAGAATATCCGACTCCCATGGCTATTGTGAGGTTCAAATGCAATAGAGTAAAAGTATTATATCTATCACAATGTCTAACCCGTATAGGTGTTTGGGAAATATTTATTCTTCTGTATCCTGCAAACCACTCTTTGTTGTCATTATTACATAGGCCCTGGAACACTCAACCCTGTGCCCATGAGCTTTGGTTTGGTTTGCCTTGGGTTCCGTGAGTTATAAGTGTACCTGTATTACTCTCCACTGAGACGTAACCTCCTTGAGGACAGGGGCCAAGTCTGGCTTGGCATTTGACACATATGAAAACTCTGTAGAATTGAAGTAGTTAGTAGTGAGGTGTTTTGGTCCTTTTTCTGTGTCTGACTCTATGTAACAAAGAGGAGAAGTGGTTCCAGGCTCTTTGGATAATAGCCCAAGGAAGAATGTGGTTGTGAAGTTTTTTTTTTTTTTTTAACCAATATATTTTAATATACTGAGAGAAGGAAAAACAATTAGAAGAGGGTGAATGGATCGTCTTCCTCTTACTCTATTATGATCTTCCTTTCTTGCCCTCCCATGTCTCTGTACCCTTCTACTCAGGTGGGAAGCAGAGAAACTACTACCACATGAGACCCTAGCAGGGATTGAGAGAGTTAATCAGAAAAGGAGATTCATAGAGAAGGAGAGTGCATAGCAGCTGGTATCTCTAGAAGGTAACTGGCATAGAGAAACTGTAGCAATCCTGGGTGGTAGAGCTGTCATTTGGCCTCAGGCTGAAAAAGAGGATGGGTCTTCCTAGCTGATGAAGTTGTAAAGCCTTTTGAGGATTCCTAGAAGTCCCTCTTTCCCTCCTTCCCCACCAGGCCCTTTCTGACTTCCTCCTTCCCCAATATATGCTCAGCCTTGAATGTTTCTAGGCAGGAAATGTACCATCCTTCCTGCCTGGCTACCTCTCACCATCACATGTCCTTCTCAGGGTGAAGACATCCTAGACAGGAGCTCGGAGCTGATCTACACTGGGGAGATGGCCTGGATCTATCAGCCCTATGGCCGCAATCAGCAGCGGGTCTTCTTCCTGTTTGACCACCAGATGGTCCTCTGTAAGAAGGTAACCATGCCACCTTCTTCCCTGAGCGAGATGGGCACCATGGTGTACCAGCCCCTTAATGTCATACCTAAGCTCTCAACAGATTGCGCAAAAGCTATTGGGGGAAAAACAGACAGGAGACTGGCAACAGTTTGTATCAGGAACACTAGTGTGGCATGAGTATTACAGACAATGTTGACTTGTGGGCTGTGAACCTCTGTCTTTGTATCTCTTTACCTTCATGACTCTCATGGTGCTTTTTCTCAGTCCCTTCTATCCAGAGCTAATAGCCACTTGATTTGCACCAGTTATTTAAAACATTGAAATATTTCTATACCAGTTGGTAAACAAGCACTTTTCCTCATTTCTACTCTAATGGTACTGGCCAAATGGCCCCTTCATATCCAAGTCATCAACAAAGGGTCTCTTATTTTTGCCCTGAAAGGTAGGGACCTGTGTAATACGGATTTTCCCCATTATTCTACCCATTTCCCATGCAAGGTGCATTGGTTTCCCACAACTCCCAGCCATGTTCTCACCCATCCTCCCTTCTTTGTAATCCATTTGAGGAGAGGTCTTGTTCTTATCATTGACCCTTCAATAACTCTGTGAATTTTGGCTTCTTGGGCTCTTCTCCTTGATGGGAATGGACAGAGAAGCATGTGCTTTCAATGTGATCCTTCCTTATGGAATACTATTCCTCACATCTCCTTCCTAAATAAAGATAGGTAGTTCAGACAAGTTTGGGCTATAAGGACTGGCTGGGGAAAATTTTGGAACAGGAAAAGTAGAAGAGGAGGGAGGAACCAAGTGTTTAGAGTCACTTTCCAAATTTACTGTCCTGTCACTAGAAGTTATGTGATTATTCTTCCCCCCCTCTAAAGTATGTTCATGCTCAGAACTAGTCATAGAGATAGCAAACAATTAGAAACCTGGTTTATTTTAGGGTCCCCCATCCCAAACAATGCTATCTGCCAGGAAAGGGTGGGGCTACTTTAAGTATAATGTAAGACAAGGTTCTATAAGCAGTGGATATAGGAGACAGGGCCAAGACACAGAACAGTAAGGCAGAGGCTAGGAATAAAGGGTAAGAAACAAGATTAATACTAGGCTCAATTTAGGAAACAAGGGAAAGTGGAGTATCAAGATAGAGTGATGAATCAACTCTTAAGCCAGCTACTAGAAGACAGTAAGTTAAGACAGGGCTGAGGGTTCAGACCAACCAAACAGGCAGGATAGGGGAAGCAGGAAACAGGGATTAAAAAAGAGAGAGAGAGAGAGAGAATCCTTGAAGCAGACAGTTTCCCCCAGATGGGTGCTTCCTTGTTTTTAGCAAGAACCCATAGACTTTTTTCTCAGAGCAAATCCAGCCTATAACCTGGATTTACTAACTTACCTGGGTCTTCCCTTTCCTTCTCAGCCTTTTGAGTAGGATCAAAGTATACCTAGATCTTCCTCACACTAGCTTCCCAAAGCATGAGCAACTATAGGCTAATTGTTCAAAGACCATTAAAACTATCTGATCTTAGTGTTGAGATTTACATTTTGTATCCATAATAAGTCTTTTCTATTCAGCAGATAGGGAGTTAACTTCTGATAAATGATCATGGGGCCAAAAGAAAGTAGGCAAGGAGACAGATATTTTGAGTTGTGGGGGACCTTTTGTTATTGCTACAGAAGGCACTCTTCTTGAGATTGAGCTGGGAGGAATGGAAAAGGATTCTTGGAGGTGAAGATTCCTTTGACAAAGGAAATCAACAATGAAAAGGAAGGAGAAGGGCCTGGACTAGGGTAAGTCAAGCAAGGCTCTCACTCACCTCAGGCATACAAGGTAAATGCATTCCCAAAAGTTCAGTAATCCTTTTTACCAGGAAGAAAGCAGGTAATAAAGGTGAATAATCAAATGTGACTATATTAAGCTTTCTGATGAGTTCATAAATTTAAAGGAGACAAGGGTCCCTATCTAGCAAGTGGCTAGATAATAATACAAATTCACATATAATATTTAACAGAAGTGACAAAAAATAGTTTCATGGATCCTAGGATGAGTCAGTTTTAAAAATACTTAAGAAATATCACTAATGTTTTTAAAGATCAGTTCAAATAAAGAAGAAAAATATAACTGATAGCCTGGCAACCTATTTCTTGAGGCAGATGGTTGCTTTACTGTTAAACAGAGGAACTTAAGTTCCTTCTTTCTCAAGGGAAATAGAGCATAAACCTCACTAAGGTAATCAAACCCCAAAGTATCCAAGGTTGTTAGGAGAAATATTTCATGGCTCTAAATTTTTCCTTCATGGGATATTTATTGAGGCCCTCTTCTGTGCCAGCCTCTGTTCTGTGTTAGACTACAATCTCTCCCTTCATGGGGCTTGTAGTAGAACAGAATTTAAGTTATATATCCAGGATATATATATATATCCAGGAGCACTTAAATAATTCTATAAGTTATATATCCAGGATATATATATATATATATATATCCAGGAGCACTTAAATAATTCTATAAGTTATATATCCAGGATATATATATATATATATATATATATCCAGGAGCACTTAAATAATTTTAAGATACCCCCAGAGGAATTGCTGTGGCAGGGATATCCATCCTGTGGCCTGCAGGCCATATACAGATTATTTGAGGACTGTTTTGCTTTTCTGTTCTGGGAGATCTGTAAGAATACTGTAGATAGGAGAATGTGCTAGTTTTCAAAGCAGAAAAATACAATCTGGAAAATATAGAATGACAATAAAATGGTAATGAATTAACATTTATTAAGTGTCTCTATGCTTCTGTTCTAAGAACTTTATTTCATTAACTTCATTTAATCTTCACAATAAATCTATGAGGTAGGTACTATTATTATTACCATTTTAAAGATATGTAAAGTGAGATATGGAGAAGTTAGGTAGTTTTCCCAAGGTGATACATGGCTAGTAATTGATAGAGCCAGAAATTGAATCCAGATAACATGGCTCCAGATTCCATATTGCTCAACTTCTATGTCATTATTGCCATTGAGCTTATCAGAATTCTATAATATTGGTAGCTTTTTTGTGAACATTTAGAAAGAGATACAGTGATCACAAAGGTTCAACATTAAACCCCTAAGATTAGTCATGTCCCATTAAATACAGTTTCTCTTTTCTTTCTTTCTTTGTTTCTTTCTTTATTTTTTTTGAGACAGAGTCTCACTATGTCGCCCTGGGAAAAATACTGTGGCATCACAGCTCACAGCAACCTCTAACTCTTGGGCTTAAGTGAGTCTCTCTCTTTTTTGGCAGTTTTGCCTGGGGCTAGGTTTGAACCTGCCACCTCTGGGTAGTGAGGTGTTTTGGTGCTTTTATTGTGTCTGACTCTATGTAGCAAAGAGGAGAAGAGGTTCCAGGCTCTTTGGATTCCAAAGGTTCCAAGGAAGAATGTGGTTGTGAAGTTTTTTTTTTTTTTTTAACCAATAGATTTTAATGTACTGAGAGAAGGAAAAACAATTAGAAGAGGGTGAATGGATCGTCTTCCTCTTACTCTATTATGATCTTCCTTTCTTGCCCTCCCATGTCTCTGTACCCTTCTACTCAGGTGGGAAGCAGAGAAACTACTACCACATGAGACCCTAGCAGGGATTGAGAGAGTTAATCAGAAAAGGAGATTCATAGAGAAGGAGAGTGCATAGCAGCTGGTATCTCTAGAAGGTAACTGGCATAGAGAAACTGTAGCAATCCTGGATGGTAGAGCTGTTATTTGGCCTCAGGCTGAACAAGAGGATGGGTCTTCCTAGCTGATGAAGTTGTAAAGCCTTTTGAGGATTCCTAGAGTCCCTCTTTCCCTCCTTCCCCACCAGGCCTTTTCTGACTTCCTCCTTCCCCAATATATGCTCAGCCTTGAATGTTTCTAGGCAGGAAATGTGCCATCCTTCCTGCCTAGCTACCTCTCACCATAACATGTCCTTCTCAGGGTGAAGGCATCCTAGATAGGATGTTTGGAAATTCTTTTGCTGCTTTTGGGGGGATACCTTTTATTCTTATTTATAGGTAATTATTCTCACTTTCTTTTCTTTTTTATTGATATTTCAAATTGAAACTTTTTTCTTTATTTATAAAGCTCTAACATTTTATTCTTTTTTCTCCCTCTTTCATTATTTACTATGGTAAGGAGTAAATCTCCTTTTTTGAATAATCCATTGATGTTCCTGCAGCCCTGCAGTTATCCCAAACATGCTTTTTCTGCTTCCTCTGTCCTCAGTGTTGCCACTCTAGACATGGTTGTGTCATAACTTATTTGTATTCCTGCTGCTTTCACTATATTCTGGTGGATCAGAGCTGAACAGCATGTAATGATGCTGGCCAGAAGACTTCTTCTATTCAAGGAGGTTTCTGCATTAGAATCATTTCTTCTTGTACTAAAGGGCCAGACTTGGAGAATGAGACATTTAGGACAACTCACAAATGTAACAATAGCAACAGTGATAAGGATAGAGCAGAAAGAAGATGGGATTTAAAACAAGAACACCTGGGTACTATGCTCTATACTAGTACTCTGTCACATTCTAACTTGTCTAACCTGGGGCCAGTTCTTTAACTTCATTCTTATTTTTTCTCAATGTAAAGCTAAATTGATAATAATACTTATCTCAGGCGGCTTTGGGAGAGAACCATGTGAAACAGTGAGAGAGAAGTGGCATATGATGTAAGAACACAAGTAGAATGTTGGACTAGAAGGTGCCAATCTCCTTTCTCTCATGAGTAGTGTAACCCTGGGAAACTTTTTGTCCTCATAATTCTCATTTACAAAATAAGAACCATGATGGTATCTAGAAGGAAAGGAGGTTGTGAGGGTTAAATGAAATACAGGTGCAATGCCAAGCACATAAGTACTGAGTAAATATTAGCTATTGATACAATTATTGTATATTCTATATTACTAATAATTTATTCAGCACTTTTTTATTTCAAGGAAGTATAGCACATTGGTTAAATAAAAGCACAGATTTTTCTAGCTGGATAATCTGAATTCGGAGCCT